GGAACTGACTTAAACATGGCCATTAACTCTCTTCTGCCTTACACCAATTTATATGTCATGAACTGTTTTCGAGTTGGAAAAACTTATCCTACTGTGAAGCTTTCTATTAAGATCTTTTCAATATGTAGAGTCAGCAGAGTTCATATAAACTCATTGAGGAGCTTTTTGGGCCAGTGCATAAACATTCTTCCAAGTCACGGTGACTCTGCATTCTAAAGGTGCACGAGTGTGCACGGGGACCCAGCAGGCGCACTTTATGTAGCTACATCTGTACTAGAACTTTCTTCTCCTACTCGTAGTTTATTCTCTCTCCTTAAGCAATGGCATTTGCTGAAATGGTTTTTTTACTGGTATATTTTGAAAATTTGTAATGATATACGTCCGACCCATGCAGACATCTCGTAGGAGCTGCAGGTAAAATGCGCCACGTTTTGTTTGATTGGCTCACAGAGCCCTCGAAGGTCAGTGCACAGACCCGAGAGTTTCCTCTTCCTCTCCCCAAATCTATCGCCCGTGTTCCTTCTCTTTGGCCCCCTCATTCTCACTATCCAGTACCCTTCTTAATCAAGAAGGAAGTGTGAGGCTTCATGCTCGGCTCTTCACTCCTTCACCTCTACGTCCATTCCCAGCTCTTTCTCCACCATCTCCGTGCTCCTGTCATATTGGAAGGTTTTTATTCTCGGTTCCCTGAAAATCTCATATCCTTCCTCATCTATCAGGGACACTTCCCTTTCCTCCTTGCATAGAAGTTACTAACACTGCCCACCCACCCCGACTTGGCCTCTGTGGCACCTCCCACACCCCAGCTAGGGCAGCCTCTCCGAGGAGGCGCTTGTCACACCTCTTACTTCTCTAGAGGAACGTACTGTGTGTCTGCACCTGCTTGTCCAGCGCTGCCGCCTCCTCTCCGTGGTAGCGGGAGCAGAGCATGACGATGCCTGTTTGGTTCCATGCTGTGCCCTGTTGTCCGACAGAGTGTTTGGCACTGAGACTGCCTGCTCTGAATACCCCAGAGGAATGAATCAGCCCTGGATAAATTAGGACGCATATTAGATCTTGTGGCTATGAAGTTTCTTATTGTTCTGACATTTTTCAGACTTCGGTTGGAGAGTCTGATGGGAGGAAATGACAGATGACATGATTCTGTCACGAAAAGTCAGAATTAAAAATTCTGGCATAATTAATGTTCATATCTACAGCTGAATTAATAGTATATGTTCATTCTTCATTGTGTACAGATCTAGTTATATCTTCTTCTTGGCATGTCTGAGCTAAGATTTAGATTCTGAAAATACCTCTCATAAACCGTTTTAAATTCATATTTTATTTAACATACCATAATTACATTTCCTAAACAACACGTTCTTTTGTTTAATACACACTAACTGCATGCTTCTTTTCTGACTTATTTTTTATCATTGCAAATTGCAAAATTGTTTAGATGATCAATATATAGGTATGAATTATAACGTGGAAAAAGCATGGATATTACTATTTTATGTCATAAAATTTTCAAAAAGTTTTAAAAATTCATTTTCAAAATGGGAGCCTTTTACCTTTTCTTTTTAAGTAAAATCCTGTCCTATTAAAACTAAATAAATAAATAAATAAATAAAACTAATATCAATGACTTGCATATCTACATGTTATGATTGCAAAATCTTGACCTCACCTGTAAGTCCATATCTTTTATTTATATCCATTGGCCATCGTCAAAACTATTT